GCACTACTGACATTTGCTTGAAATAATGGCACAGCAACATTGACCCAAACTATAGATTTGTTCTAAATACTGGGACAGATTCTCATCTAAGCTTCCGTGAAAAAGCACTGATTTACCCCGATAGAGTATCTGCTCCAGTAAAACCATCGGCATTGATCAGCTCTGACAGCTTCCCTCTTTCTTCCAGCTCCAAGCCTCCGCTCCTATTATTCTCTTCAGCATGTGGGAAGCCACATAGCAGCTGACTGTCTTGGCCTTGCTTTTGAGCCAAAATGAATACATCGAGAAAGGAGTTCAATAGGGCAGGATATCCACTCCAGACTGATAGCCAGAATGTCTACTCTTGCAATTAAAGACCTGTTGATCCGTCAACAGAAAAGCTGCTAAAGGCCAGCAGAGTGACCTAGCATACGTCCAGACTCCCATTTTCATCTTAATAGCACTCCCATACTACTTTGTGATGTGCGATGCCTATGCGAAGACATTTCATAAGAACTGCAGTGTATGACTGGATCTTAACAATTTAGGGTGAGAACATCTATTCAGCTTCTGCTGCTGTAAAGAATGGATAAAATTTTTTTCACTTAGTAGTCTTCATTGGAACCTCTCTCAAACTGTGGCCAACCACAGCTAATGCAACTTCTCTCCTTTAAAATTGTTCACGTTGCTGTTTTGTTTCACCTTTCATATCTATACAAAGAGGCAACTCACCTAAAATTTCGTGTTCTCTAAAAACATACTGCATGTACCGGCTCCTCAGTCTGATGTGCTGAACAGCGCTATTGCATAAGAGATTTAGGGCAGCAAGCAGCAGGTGAGAGGCACTGCATTTATATTTTAATTAGCTCTTGCTAGGAGTTTCTTCAGAGGTAGGTTATCTAACCCTTAATTACTATTTGTCCACCTACATTATTAAAATCTTACTCATGTCCTTCCATTTCAAGGACTTTTTGTACCTCCTGAAAACTGTATTGCTAAGATTGCATATAAATAACTATTCTGAAATAATCCCAAGTGATAATTTTATAAATCTGTTAAGCACCAATGGTAATTAAAGAACTTTAGCAATAAAAAGTAAAAATTTGGGGAAAGTATTATTTTAAGACGTGAAAAAAAGTTCTCTGGAGCTTGTCTGATTTCATAAATTTTCATTATTTGTGGACTCCTTAAATACATTTTCAGCAATTGCATTCTTTTCTAGAAATGAATTCTCAAAATGTCATGTTCTGTGAAAAAAACCCCTACTGCTTTATTAATACCCTATTCCACATCACACTGATTATGTTAATAAGAATAAATATTTTTGCATAATTACATACATCTGATTTTTTTTTCCTACAGCGAGAATACATTATAATCTTGAGGTGTTTCTTATTTCTGGAAGTATTACTATACCAAAGGAACGGGACAACTTTGAAGCAAACTAGCGGTATGTGTATTTCTGAAGTACCTCACTAACGTATGTAGATGTGTCTAGCACAGAACCTTCCAACACGGCAATGAAATTGGAAAGCCTTCCTGGAAATACAATAAGTTGTCAAAGGGTTTCTAATTATTTTTCTGGTATTGATTTAACTCGCATCCATTTGCCAGTGCTGGGGAGATATAACCACCACGAGACTATTTAACATCAGATTGCTCGGTTGCTCCTGGAGGATTCATGTACCTGCCAGGGCCAGTCTAGACCTTGCTGGCAGCTCTATGAACAAAAGGGGGGATTCTGGTAGAAATAGGTGTTATCAGAACTGACAGGCATGCAATACTGAGGCTGCTCATGCTCCACACAATATACATTTTTCTACTGAAAAGAAGCTGGAACATTAATGAGATATTAATGTTGTTAACTGTGGGTGTGAGCGCACAGCGCTTTCACACTGGAGTAACCCTCACTCAAGCAGCCAGATTCACTGAACCCAATGAGGTTGCTTCACTGAAACTGAATGCCACACAAGTAAAAACTCCTTTTTAAGTTATTGTGCCCTTGCAATTCTGATTCACACGGGTAAAAAGAGTTTGCAAGATTTTGCCCCAATTTCATTGCCAAAAGAGCTCAGTGGTTTGGGTATTTTTTTTTCCTGTTCGAGACTTGCTATGGAGTTTCAAAGGCAATAGCCTGAGAACGTGCTTTCTTCTCAGTTTTAAATTGGAGAGCATATAGCTACAAATCCTGAAATGGATACTTTAACACTTCAGTAGTTTTCTAAATTAAAAATAATGGATTCCTGGCAGGCATCCTACCCCGGTTTACTCACAACATAGATTTTATTACCCCAGTGTCACTGATAATGATTCTAGCTGCACAGTAGTCGTAAGTCAGAAAGCAGTCTTATGTTGCTGACTGAGCCACTGAAAATTAGGTTTTTTCATTACTAATTTATTTTAGAAAGGGAGATAATGCTATTTATGTCATGTAAGTGACTTAGAGAAATAACACAAATGACATTGGACATTTACAAACTCATTATGATAATGGCAATCTTGAATAACTTGTAAGAGAGTTCTGCAAGTTCCACTGTTATGTTTGGCATATTCATAACAATCTCTTGATCATTTGTCTCCTCCTTGTTCATGAAATTCATCATATACAGATGCAGTACAAAACCATTAAGATGCAATGCAATTTAAATTATTTTACGGAGAACCAAAATTGCTTAATTTATTACTTCTATCATTGTAATAGAACTAGATATACTGGATTCTTAAGCCATCTAACCAACCTCTAGAGCTCTGCCTCTAAAATAGATTGCTCAATTAAAAAGACTTACCTTTCTTACAAAAAATAAGTCTCCATTTTTGTAATAATCTAATTTTTTTTCTTGCCACAAACTAGAGATTCTAAGCAATCACAATGTGCAACATAAAAACTCCAAGTAAGGATGGCTCTGCTGTGATATGCAGTATTCAGCTCCAAATATTTGTTAACTGGAGAATGCACAGTGATCTGAATATATGTGTAGTTAACACATCTGGCAGTTTCTGTAGCTTCTGTTTCCTCCCCCACCCTCTCAAATGGCAAACCGAGACTTGATCAAACCTGTAAAACGTACAGTACCATGAACACATTCAGCCCAAGGAAAAGGCACAGTGGTAAATTACCTTAAATTCAGTTTCAATGTTGGCTAGTCTGGCCAATTCATTGCTTAGCTCTAAAGCAGTAAGGACAGGGTCTTCGCTGGAAAGAGACAAATAAGCAGCGCTGGCTAATCCTTTGTAGGCGTTCATTCTCGATCGAGAGTGACTAAAGGAATCTTTCCTCTGCTTCTCAATACATTCATTGCACTTGCAAAAATAGTCATGTGGCCTTTCAATCCGTGCGCCTTTTAGAAGCAAGATGTGAACAATTTCATACTCCTGGCAGTGGGCAGCAAGTATGATAGGTGTAATGTCATGGGAGAACCGAGTTCCATCTTCATCGTAGGCATAAAAATCATCATCTCTCAGTTCCTGCTCAAGGGGGCTGAGTGTGAGACGCTGTCCTTGTGCAAAGGCTGGGTGGTTCAATATTGCTTCTACAATGCGCACATATCCTTTACTGATGGCTAACAAAAGCGCGTCTCCAACTCGAGCGAGATTCTCCTTTTTGAGGAGGAGCTCTGTCACTTCCAGATGCTCATTCCCTACAGCTAACTGCAGGGCATTTTGTCCCATATAATCGACACAATTAAAGTTCAAGGTTTTGGATTCCTCCAGCATTTTTCGCACAACAGGAATGTTGCCATATTCTGCAGAATCGAGAAAACGTTCCTCTTCTGCAGTCAGGCTGGTGCCTTTCTCATTGAACATGTAGGCTGGGCCCCGGATGGCTTGCCTCCGGCCCTTCTCCCGAAGGGTTGTGTGCCTTCGATGCATGTTTTTATAATTGCCGTTTCTCAACCTGCAGAAAACCAGAAAGGTTGGTTATATTCTTGGAGAGTCATAGTCTCAAGTAAACTGAAATAAGGTAAGAAATGTCTCCTTATGATCAGATCTTGCTAGTTTTTTTATGATTTGGGCCAGTTGTTTAAAATCATTTAGGATACATGTGGAATAAAGAAGATTACTTTTCTGAACGACAGACAAGTTCTCTTCTGACTTGTACACCCTTCTCTATTTCAGCAAGTGTACACAGCACATTCTTAACTTGAGAAACAAACAAAAAAAAAGTGTGAACACATTGATTTCCATTTTTATTGTTTAGAACTTCATTACACAGTAGTTAGGAATAATATCCACAACATAATGGTTTTCCTAATTACTCTTCTTGAGTTTTATCCTTGAGGGCACAAGGCAAGCAAGCTAAAGAAAGTTTGCAGGACTCCCCATGCCAATAGACCTTGCATCAGGCCAATAAACTATGTTCCATAAAGTTAAAAAGCATGCTTCTAATTTTAAACACACACTAACAAGGATAAATATTTTGCATATTCTGCTAAGATTCAGCTGGTACAAGCAAACCACCTATTTATTCACTGCTTTTTTCATGCTACATAATATGATTTTTCTGTTTCCTGATCTAAAGCAGTTTGATAAATGACTGTCTAATTTTCTCACTGAAATACAGTTGGCAGCTACTTTAAACGCAAGTACGCAAATCCAGGGGCCAGTCTTGTAAAACAAAGGGATAACTCCTGGTTTAGTGTCACATCGCTCCCCAGTAAGCATCTTTCAGACAGCTGCTGCAGAATGACAAGAACACGGGTATCTGACAACAAACAGAAGGCAGATCAGAAAGGGTCATTAGTTTCCCCACTGATTGTGTGGCTGAAATGCCTTCACTTGGAGTTGGTGGGATGAAGAAATACTATTCTTATCCTACCTTCTCTGGAATCCCCAAAGAAAACTGTGCTATGTGCAACTGGGCTCAAGGAGGAATAAACACCCCGTTGTATGAAATTAAATGAAATCCTAAACTGATCTGTCTTTTTGAAGCATTCACACTTTGTGTTCAGTGCCATCTCGATGTTGCTCTTCTTTTTCATTTTATTGCAGTAGCATCTCAACAAAATCATAGCCCTTCTTTTAGAGCCTAACCACATGGAGTTAATTGCCATCCCAAGCCCATGGAATGTGCAGCCTGAGTAAAAAGGTAAACCCAACACCTCTTTCACAAAAAGCATTTGCACTCAGTCCAATAGCAAGTCCTAAATCACTTGGGTAAAATTTTCAGGAACCTCTAAGCTGCAGTGGGCAGATGTAACAAATAAGCAGGTGTTAATGCTCAGTGGGTGGCAAAGGTTCATCTTTCCAAGATCCATCTGTTCTCCAAGTCAGTTTTGACCTTCAGTCAATGAAAAGTTCATGTGTTGCTCTGCAATAATAATACTGGAGTTTGTAAGTGCTGTTGTGAATGACGAGAGGGAAAGGTGCCAGGAGACAAAGTGGAATAGATACATTGCCTTCAATAATACATTCTTCAGGAGAAGAAGAGAGTAAGGCAATCAAGCAAAAACCCAGGAAAACAGAGGGTATCGGAAACACCCAAAATACCTGAAGTGCCAGGACACAGAAATTCTCAACGTAACTGTAATCATGGAACTAGCATATACATATGCATCTATCATTTTAATTCATCGTTTTTTTACTGATCTAGAACAGAAACCTAGTACTGAAGTGTCAAACAAATTTTACAGCAAATTTTTAGCAGCTACATTAAAATTTGAACAAAATCTAAGGAAGCAATTTTGTGACCATACAAAGTTGAACACAAGTTTCATAATTAAGAATCTCTCCCCCTAAGCTTTAATGCATCAGCATAACAACTTAATGAAAGCTGGAAGAATTCCGCTGGGCTTTTCTGATGTTCAAAACCCAAACATTTTTATGTTCTAAAAATGTCATATGGTAAGATATTTGGCAACCTGATATCTACTGTTATATTTAATGGTCAGTACTGGAAGCAGCTCAGAAATATGGAGCATTTCCAGCAGTGAGGAATCTATTAGATATTTTGCCTGATGTCCAAGTACAATTCATGATAATTTGTCCTTTTTCCTCTCCTGATACATTATTACCTCTAAATGAGGGCCCAGATAGGTGGGACAGATAACCTTACAATTACACCCAAAGTAAACATAAAACTACATAAATTACTACCATTGGCCCAGTTTTAAGATTTTTGCCTGAGAAAGGAGGTTAGAGTTTGGCCTAGAGCTAATTCACACCAGTTTGTTGTACATGTAATAACATGCCAAAAAAAGGACCTTCATTTCACTTTCTTCAATTCAGAGAGCACATTGTTTTCGTACACTGTTTCTAGCAACAGCAATTGCATCAGCAAAAAGAGGAAACAGGAAAGTATACGTGCCCTCTAAAAAGATAATTACTATACAACATTTATCTTACAATAAATGTTCTGCAGGGATGTCCCTGCAGCACAGAATTGATCTCCACTGCCTGCAGGTAAGGGCAGGAGTACTATAATTCAGAGGGCTTCACCTCAGATGAATTATGACCCCCAGTCTTGCTCATGAGCAGGGAAGATCAATATCTCAGCTATTGCACTTTATCATCTTTATAGAGAACAGGAGATGAATAAAAAATTATACTTTTAACTTTGAATAATTTCATGAGAAATGCTCAGCTATCAACTCCTGTTCTGAAAAGAAAGTTATAATTATGTTTGACCTGAGCACTGAATCGTGATAGAGAAGTGGTAGTGCAGAGAGTAATATATGCAGTAGCTGAAGATCTTGGAAATGAAGCCCTACTCTAATGTCATGACTGTACTCGGCACCTTCTTCTATTCTGCTTTTTAGTGATGTGCAGGCAGGTTTAGAACTAATCATATTTACTGAGCATGTGTAATGTGCCCTCTTAAAAAAGAGTAATTGTGACTTGATTGCATTTATTTTATCATTTTTGTTTAAAGGTGCTTTGCATTGAAATGACTCTGTATTTGCATATTTTATTGAGACAGCTACTGATAAAACTCATCAGGCACTGCAATTAAATATTGTGTTTTTCTAGGAAAGAATGCCAATGCATGCAGTGTTGTTGGAGAGAAAATGTTCTGGGAAAAGAAAACCAAAAATTTCAGGGCCTAAGTGCTGCTTGCAGCAAAGTGCATCCAGCTTTACACGGCTGAGGGAGCCATAAGATGTCTGGACTCCTGTGGTGAGTGGAGAATAATTTCTGGAAGGTGATTTAGCTCTTAACAAATCATCCCCTGGGAGCATCTCGGCTTCTAATTAAAGTGGCTTAGAGTAGGTCCTTGCAACTTGCACCGACAGCACTAGGCACCAAGACACTCAACATCTGAGAAGGGAATATGGCGTAACATGAGATTTGTTCTTCATGTGGTGTCACTGAAAACACTGTTGAAGCTGAAACTCTCCTTTTTTGCAACCACACTCTCTTAACTGCTCTGAGTGCCAGATATGTAGGACAAGGGAGGCATGAGAAGGAAACTGGGCTGCTTCATATTGAGCCTTCCCCAGCAAATGTCCTTTCTCCTTGATCCTCCTTTCCACAGTGCTCCAGACTATGCTGTGCAGGACCTTCTGCTGCCTCTCGAGTCCTACACAAGAACCTATGGAGGGGCAGGGCTACCACCTAGAGCTAAGGCTTGGAGAAAACTTTCAAGAGGCTAAATTGGAGTTTTTACAGGACAGGCTGAACAGATTCTGCTTGAGTTTTTAAAACATCTGAAGTCTGAATAGGTATAGAAATCAATGGGTACTAGGTACTGTGGTAATTCTGGAATTCTCAGGTGATGTCTACCTTTACTTGTCTTAAAGCCTAACAATTGAGCAGGGCATTTACAAAGGCAGCTTTAGGAACTTATGGTCTCTGACTACACTTTGGGTTTGCTTTCAGTCAGTGGAGAGAGGTTAGCAGGAGTCTCCCTGTGCCCTTTCAATGGCCCCCTTTGTCCAGAAACTACAGAAGAAACTTAAGATAAGTAACCATTGCTATGCCCCACGTTGGGTAAAGCAACCATCAGAGTAGGCTTTGATGAGACATTGACTCTGTCTTGTTGAGAAGAAAATTTAAGTTTTTGAACGCCGCTTTGAAAGCGTTACCCTTAGTTCCCGCAGAGCCTCAGAAGCTGTCAGATTGACACTTCACTTATTATTTTTCTTTCTAGTTACACCAATATTTCTAAAAAGAATCAGGGCACATAAAGGCTGCAGACTCCCTGAGGCCTCTTTAGAATTGCTGCAGCTCTTTTACACATCAAATGGACCGTTTTCCTCTATTAAAACTCATTTCCACACACAAAACCTGATCATGCAAGATGTGCTATAAACGTGAGCAAAAATTAAGGAAATTAAGTTCTATAAGCAGACACAAACCAATATAGAAATGAATCCATTCAAAAGAGTAAGTCAAATTCTTCAGAGAAAAACCAGTACGCTGTTGCATCTTTTACTTAAAAAACTTGCAACGTATTTTGTAGCAGACTCCAGACTTCAGGTCATGAGCACAGACTGAACACAAACTGCATCTATGTATTATCCTATATGCAATAGGCTATTCTAGCATTCCAAATGCTATGCAGACAGATACTGCCAGAGCTCTCTGATACCCTCTTTTTCTCCAATATCTTAAATAGCCTTCTAAATCTTACCTTAAGTCAAGATATCATCCTTTAAGACAAAAGGTTTAAGTATCCTTTTTCACATATTGCTGAATAACCATTCTCACATACGTATACAGTCTCAGGATCATTTGGGGTGGTTGCTTTTGATCAACAACAGCTTATTCCAAAGATTTCTATGCTTTGAAATGCCTAAGTACCATTTTATTTAATCTTAGGATGTCCAAAACACTAATTGAGTACTGTTAGCAACATGGTCCTTCTCCTACATGAAAAGTTGCATATGTATCTAGGGACAATTAATAGAATTTTTTAGCTCTATTCAGACAGA